GACATCCTACCCCTCCCTCCCATCCCTTACCATGGCGCTGATTTTCTCTATCCGCGGACGCGTGTCGTAGCGGACCTGTGGCTCCGCGCGCGTGTGCGTAGTGGGTGGTGGTGAGAGTGCGTGCGTGCGTGTGTGCGTGGTTGTGGTTGTTTGTGGTGGTGGTGTGTATGTGTGTGTGTGTGTGTGTGCGTGTGTGCGCGTGTGCTGTGGTGTGACGTGGTGTGGCGTCTTGGTGGTTTGGTGGTGGGCCAGGTGCGTACGTGCGTGATGGCGGTGGTGGTGGTGGCGGTGGTGGTGTGTGTGTGTGTGTGTGTGTCTGTGTGTGTGCGTGTGTGTGTGTGTGTGTATGCGTGTGTATGTGTGCGTGTGTGTGTGTGTGTGTGTGTGTGTGTGTGTGTGTGTGTGTGTGTGTGCGTGCGTGCGTGCGTGCGTGCGTGCGTGCGTGCGTGGGTTTCTTGCGTGCGTGCGTGCGTGCGTGCGTGCGTGCGTGCGTGTCTGTGTGCGCGCGCGTGTGATGTGGTGTGACGCGGTGTAGCGTGGTGGTGGTGGGTGGGGTAGTGGGGTGGTGGTGGCGGTGCGCGTGCGTGCGTGCGTGCGTGCGTTGGTGGGTGGAAGTGGCGGTGGGCGGGGCGGGGCGCGGTGCGGTGGTGGCGGGCGGATGGGCGCGCGAGAAAGAGGCCCGCGCTGGGGCGAGAACGCCATCCTGAACGACGGAGGCAAAACACCGATCCGAAAATGAGACCCACGCTGCAGCGGGAGCACGATTCGGAACGAGCGGGGCCCGAAAATGAGGCCGGCGCCTCAGCGAGAGCAGCATTTTGAAAAAATGCAGGCGAAAACCCAACTCCCGGGAATCCTGTGTAAAAAAGCAGGACGCGGGGGGGGGGGGCGAACACTCCCAGCACGTCATCAGGGGAAGAGGGAGAGTAGCATTCATATTAGGCGTTTGGCCGAAGCTGCCGTTTTGCCCGCAGGGGGCAGGCAGAGGGCAGAGCTGGCCCAACCCCAGGTGTGTCGGGGACACCGCAACCCCGGCCACGACTGTGTTCCGCGGCTCCAGGCCAGCGGAACCCGCTTGGCATAGAAGATTACGAGCACACAGGTCCTGGTACCGTACCATCCTTCGCTTGGCCAGCGCCAAGCAAGTGCTGAGAGCGCACCACAGTCGTCAGGGTGTGCCGCACAAGAAGGAGATGTCCAGCCAGATTTCAGGATGGAGGTGCCCGTGTGGGGAAAAGGTGCCAGTCACGAAGTGGAACTGCAAGTGCGGTACTCATTTCAATCAGCGTATCCAGATGGCATGGGCGAGAAGGCCGAGGAGCGCCAGCCGAGCTCCGTGGCAAGAGCAAGCACTCCACCAGCCGTCCAAGGCGGTAGTCAACAAGATGATTGCCACGGTGAGGCCCATGTCCCTGCAGGAGGCCGAGGCCAACCTGACGTGGGACCCGCCGCCGCTGGACGAGTCCAAGGTCGCAGCGTACCGTGCCAAGGCAAGGTCGAAGATGGAGTCGCTCGCCCTGTCCGCCATCGCAGCAAAGGCCGCAGATATGGACGATGCAGAAGCTCGCTACGAGATAGCGATGTGGAAGGCCGCGCTGATTGCACTCAAGCCGATCGCCCAGCAGATCGCGGACATGAGGAACAGGAAGATGCGCCTCGACGACAAGATCCGCAAGATCAAGTTCGATCAGATGAAGATGGCGGAGGAGGAGGCAGCCGTTGCAGCAGAGATCGACGAGCTCAAGGCTCAGATCGACCAGCTGGTCCAGGAGGAGGCAGAGCAGGAGGACGAGGCCATGCAGGTGCAGCAGCCAGGCCCGCCGCCACCACCTGCGGCGCCAGCAGGCAGTACGGCCCCAGCGGCCACAGGGTCAAGGCCTACCGCCCCCGCGCCCCCTCCTCCTGGGCAGCATGGACCGCCCTGGCGTGCATGGCAGCAGCAGCAGCCGCAGCAAGCACAAATGCCAGTCATCCCGTAGCACCTCATGGTGCCAGTGGTCCCCCAGCAGTGCTTCGACACCACGAGCAACAAGGGCCATGGCAAGGGGGTGCAGGCTGCGGCGCCAGCGTATGGAGGTCCTCCAGTGCCACAGGGCCCAATCGTCGGGGGCATCACGGCAGAACAAGCGTGCCAGCTCAACGGTGCAATCCAGCAGATGGAGAGCAACAAGCAGCAGTTCACAGCCATGCACAACCAGATGCAGCAGATGCAGCAGTACATTGTCGGCCTGACCACGGCGATCAGCGACCTCAACAGGCAGAAGGTTGCAGCAGAACGTATGCCAGTACCGCCTTCACCAACAGCGAGTACGGAGGCATCGACTCCAGGGCTGGGAGTAAACGCCACAGCCACGCCACAAGGGGGTCTGGGGCTTCGCATGGGCCCGATCACCATCGCCCCCACGAGCCTCGCGCAGGCCTTCGAAGAGTCGCAGCAGGAGCAGATTCCATTCGAGGGCACGCTCACCCCCATCTCGCCGACCCAGGAGGTCAAGGAGATCGAGTCCATCCCAGGCCCGCCGAGATCGATCGCGGGCTACCAGGACAAGCATGGGGAGCCAGACTCAGCGTTTCCGAGGACCGCGTCAGAGGCCATGAAGTCGGGGGACAGTCCAGCCAGGAAAATCCAGAGGGGAGACGACGAGATAGTCGAGATCACGGACGAGGACCACCAGGCCGAGATCCTGGCCAGGGAGGGCGGAGCGTGAGTTGGGGCCAGAGGCATAGCAAGCTATTTAACGCCGCTCTCCGTGTCAGTCTCGCTGCGACCCAGCCCAGGGTCCCTCCCTCCCCCGTCTTGGTTTCAGCCCTGCGCAGGCGCCCAGTTATCATTTCCCTGGAAGCCTTGCTCAATTTTGAAGGGGATCAGTCCGTCTCCCCTCCCCTCCCTCGTGAACCTGGGGACCCGCCGTCCGCCCAGGGCCACGGGCCCGAACCTACTCAAGACGAGAACCCATCTACCGTGCCCAAGCAATTTTGCGTTCCGTGTGACAGTTGGGGTGACTTCACGCGTGTTACATCTGCGTTGGGCCCGCACGTTCGTCTCTCTCGGCAGGTTCCCCTTAATGATCTCCAGCCCTCCGCCAGGCTAGCTTGGGAGTTAGCCGAGCCGCCGCAGGCGACACACACACAGCCATCGAGATCTATTCCGACGGCTCGTGGCAGCCCGACGACCCAGCCGAGTCGAGTTGGGCCGCGACCGTAGTTGCCAGATCCACCGACAGCACCGATGGTCAAACCAAGGTGCACTGCTGCGGTTACCTGCGGGGGCAGGCGGCCAGGACGACACCAGGGGGTATAGATTTGACCAAAGTTTCCAGCACTACGTTCGAGATACTGGGTATCTACTGGGGGTTGCTGTGGATTTTGGCTGGGGCCCCAGGGGAAAACGAGCACCCCGTTCTAGACTTCAATCGTAGGCCCCAGGTGTCGTTTCTAGTTGATGATACCACCTCATGTGCCTTGACCCAAGTGCACGTTGTGGCCACGGGCGTAGATGGCCAGTTGGTGAAACTGGCCAGGCATGCTCTAAGGGTTGCCAACAGTAGAGCAGACATTTCCTTTTTTCACGTCCGTTCCCACGTTGGTAACCCATGGAACGAATGCTCCGACTCGCTTTGCAAAACAGGTTCTGCGATTAGCCTCGAAGTTCCCGAAGAGGTCCTGGGGGGCCTGACCTTTAAGCAGGAAATGGAATGGGATTGGATCCACCGACTCCCTGACAGATTACGTGCCCAGTATCCCCCCCTGGTCCAGGGAGATTTCAGGGGCCCCCTTGTTCAGCAGGAAGCGAGCGAGGAGCACATCCACAAACCGGTGGTGGTGAAGAAGACCACCACATCAGTGGGCATTGAGCTTAAAGTTGTGTCGTCTAACGCCCTCTCGGCCTCAGACAGGGATCAAGGTGTGATCCTGCCAGTGCCACAGGGGAGGATGCCCAAGGAGACGTCGCCCCCGCAGGCCCACGGCAGGGCCAGGGCCCACGGGCCGCACCTCGGGCTCCAGTTCAGGGAGGCCAAGATCCTGTTGGTTGGGGTCCAGGAGGCCAGAAATCCCCAGGGGGCCAGGAGCGCCGAAGGATACGAAGTCTTTTCCTCAGGACACGCCAGGGGCAACTTAAGGTGCGAACTCTGGGTTGCCCAGGACGTACCCTATGGGACCAAAGGAGGCACGGAGTTGTTCCTCACCAGGAAAAACGTCCACATCCTTCACGCCGACCCCAGGAGGCTGGCGGCAAACATCAAGGCCGCCCACTTTAAAGTTCGAGTGGCTGTGCTGCACGGACCCCACAGCACTACCTTTGCCTCTGACGAAGACAGAGCTGCTTGGTGGAGAGACACGGACGAGCTCATCGTCAAGTTTCAAGTCTCAGTCACCTTGTGCGATGCCAACGCGAGAGTCGGATCCCTTGTCTCCGATAGTGTGGGAAGACAAGGGTTTTGTCAGGAGGAGGACGAAGGAGGAGAGTACTTTCACGCGCACCTTCTCGCGACCAAGATGGTCGCCCTTAATACTGTGCTCCCCCAAGCCTCGGAAGGCCACACCTGGGTTTCGCACTCGGGGTCCCAGCATCGGATTGACTACGTTTGTTCTGACCCCGACCTCACTGCGGTGGCCATCAACACGTATGTGTGGTATACGTTAGACGGACAACACGCCAAGCCAGACCATTTTCCAGTTGTTGTGCATTTCAAGAGACCTGCTGTCCAGACGACAGTCAGGCATCAGCAGCGATATGAGTATCGCAAGATCACGGATTCCGAGTGCTGTGAAGCGTTTAGGGCCAGGATTGCGTCCATCGAACCTGTCAGATGGGGGGTTGGGGTTAACGAACATGCCAAGATTATCGAGCAGAGTATCCTGGAAGCGGCTGCACAAGCCTTCCCCCCCGACCCCGCTCCCCCGCCCTACAAACCTTACGTTAAGCAGGGAACCCTCCGCCTCATTAGGCTCAGGAGGAGAATAAGAACCATGTTGAGAGCGTTCAGGAGAATGGACGCTACGGGCATCCTGGACCTTGCCCAGCAGTGTTGCGCCACGCCGCCCCCGATGCTGGTAGGAATACCAGAGGAGGCTCAGGCTCTGTTCATGCCCATCATGCGACAGGGCCTCAAGTTGCCCACCAGCGATTTCTCCGCCAGCAAGTTGGCGGACGCCGCAGCGATGTACATCCGCATGACCCACAAAGTGGTCAAGAACCTCATCATGGCGGCCAAAACAGAGCTGCTGCAGCAAATGGGGGAGCTTCTCACCTCGTCGCTCACCGCTGGATCCGCCAAAATGGAGTGGGCCCACAAGAAAACCATTGCCCGTATGGGGGGGGGCTAAATCCAAGTACCCCAAGGCCCACCTCCCCATGATGAAAGAAGAAGACGGGGAAGTTTTTCAGTGCGCTGAGGACATCGCCGATAGGTTTTTGAAGCGTTTTGCCGAGATGGAGGCGGGGAAGACCCTCCAGCCAGACCAGCTTGTGCACGAGTATAACACCCATTGCCGAGCCACGTGGGACAGAGCCCCAGACGTTGTCACGTGCCCTCTGAGGTTTATGGAACCCAAGGATAGGTTGCAGGAGAGCTTCATGAAGTCTAAGTCGGGGAAGCAACCAGGGCCGACAGGTATCAGACACGAGCTGTTGAAGGTCGCCGCCCCAGAGATGGCGAACATTCTTTGCCCCCTTTTCATGAAAGTCACGGTCCAGGGTACCGAACCGATTTCGTGGAAGGGCGGTTGGGCGGTCCCCGTTCCCAAAAAGCCCAGCCTGTGTTTCTTCAAGAATTACCGTGAAATCTTGCTAGGGGAAGTGGTGGCCAAGCACCACCACTCCTTCTTGAGGGCGCTCGTTGCCCAGGTTGTTAAAGACCTCGCGGGGCCCAACCAAATGGGGGGTTTACCTGGGAGGGGTACCGACTTGGCCTCTCTGGCCACCAGGACGGCCCTCGAACTCCTCAAGGCCCAAGGGAAAACTGCCGTCCTTATGTTTTCGGATCTCAAGGACGCGTTTTACAGGGTCCTTAGGCAATTTGTTGTGGACAGCGATCCTCTAGACGAGGACGAAGTGGTTGACAGGCTTCAGATCCCGCTCACGCTAGTCCCATCTTTTCAAGCTCTGCTCAGGCAGTCGGCCCTCCTTACCAACAAGGCTCACCCTCAGCTCGCCCGCATGGTGTCCGAGGCAGCGGGAGCAACGTGGTTTGGAGTCAAGCTTGCCACGAGCTTAGCGCTCCCCGAGACAGGCACGCGAGCTGGCATGCCGCTCGGGGATATTCTGTTTATCGCCGCGTTCGCCCCTGCTCACGCTAAGGTGCACCAGCGGCTTAAGCAGAGAGATTTGCTCGTCCCCGTGTAGCGAATGCTAGACGAAGCTTCAGTTCTCTGTGAGCAATCTTTTTCTAGGGACGAGTACGGGGCCCCAGACAGTGAAGATCTCCAGGGAGCTGCTTTCATGGATGATCTCCTTACCCTGGCCACCCCCCCCTCCACCCCCGAGTGGAAGCCAGCGGCCCAACAGATGACCAAGATCGTGCACGAAGAACTCATCAGAGTGGGGTTCACCCCCAACTACGACAAAGGAAAAACGGAGTTAATGGTGGTTTTCTCGGGAGAAGGGTCCACCGCGGCCCGCATCGAGTACGAAGAGAAGGGCACGCTCCAAGTCGGAGCGTACGGTATTGAGCTTCACAAGGCTGAATGCTACAAGTACCTGGGGTTCATGCTCCACCGCGGGGGGTCGTGGGGCCCTGAGGTCCACCTCCGAGGGCACGACCAGGCAGTGGTCCTTGGGCCTCTCAAGAGGACTGTCTTTGGTCTGAGGGACCTCCCAAAGCAGACTAAGATCAAGTATGCCGTTGCCCTGTGCTGCTCGCGGTTTTTGTACCAGGCAGTGCTATGGACGCTGCCAGTCAAGACTCTCGCCCGTGCGGAAGGAACATATCTTGACGCTTACAGAGCTGCGCTCAAACCCGACCTCCCGAGGCCACCTGAGCCCAAAGCGTCCCGTGAAGAGGTCCTTGTGAGGGCCCAAAAACCTTCCCTGTCTCTCGTGTTACGCCTCAGGCGGCTCAGGTTTCTCCCCGGGGTCCTCCGAAACGGCGCTAAGGCCGTGCTCGGCATGTTGGACTTGCTCTCGCCTAGGGAAGGCACATGGGCCTCCCTTTTGTCCCAGGACTTGGATTGGCTCCCCCACCATGTCTCCCTGCCTCTCTCCCTCTCCCCTCCTGGTGACAAAAAGTGGTGGATCGACCTTGCTTTCCGAGAGCCAAAGACGTGGAAGGGGTTGATGAAAAAGGTCGAGATCGGGGCTACGAGGGCTGAACTCGACTCTGCCCGTTTGACGCTGTGGCGTAGGGATATCAGGGCTCTGTGTGTGGCGACCCAGGTTCCCCCTCCCCCCACTTGCGGACTCGACGATCCCGACGTGATTTACCTGTGTCCTGAATGTGATGCCACGTTTATTACCCCCCATGCCTGGGCCACACATAGGGCGAAGCATCACCCAGAAGTCGACCTTGCCAGGACTGTTGCATTAGGGAGTGTGTGCCAGTCCTGCAATAAGGAGTGTTTCACGAATTCAAGGTTGCTTAAGCACCTAAGGCATGGGTCCAAAGTGTGCTTGCCCAATCTTGTCCTGGCCCTCAGGCCCCTCACCCAGGAGCAAATTCAGCAGCAGCGTGACCTCAACGTGGAGTGTGCTACTGAGCTTGCCTCCAGGGGGGTGTATGCAGAGCAGGCGGAGAAAAAAGTCGTTAGGTGAATCGGGCCTGGCCTCAAGGGTGCTTGCAATGAAAAATGGCAAAAACTGTCGCCAGTGGCGAGAGTGGCAGCGGACTTCCGAGCCGCAGAGCTGCCACCGCCAAGCCCCATTCCCGTCCCGCCGCCGATTGGGCAGCACTTTTACATCATACTGATTGGAGTTGGTCCAAGAAGGCCAAGCGACTTGCAAGCTGCTATAGATGGGAGCGCTGAAGAAAAAAGGTCTCAGGATACTCGTGCTCAACCTAGCTGCCAAACAGGACAGCACCATTGAGAGACCAGAGGTGAGGACCCTGGTCGATTTGATTCTTTCTGGTCGAGTATGGGCTGTCATCTCAGGGCCGCCGTGCGAAACCTTCAGTAGGGCACGCTGCAGGCCACCTTTACATAAGAAACTTTTTCCCAGAGTCGTCAGATCTCCTGAATGGCCCTGGGGGATGCCCAACAGGTCTGCTCCTGAGTGGGACCAGATTGCCCAGGACAACGAAGTTTTGAGAACGACGGTTCGATGCGCTGTTGCGTGTGCGGCAGTAGGCGCCAGGTTTCTCTTTCTCTTTCCTGAGGCTCCCAGAGAAGCTCATGTAGCCTCATGCATGGACCTACCAGAGGTCAAGTACGTGAGCACCCTCCGCGGGGCCGAATATTTGTCCTTCGATATGTGAGTTTTTGGTGCTGATGCTGTTATGCCCACCACGGCCATAGCTATAAATTGTCCAGGCATGGGGGAAGGTTTCAGGCATCGTAGGTGTTACCACGGGGCCCACATGGTCCCACAGGGGCCCAGGGACTTCCTTCCGCCCGCAGGCCTCTTTCGCACCGTCGCCCAGGCAGTGCTGGGCCAACTGCAGCCCGCTGGGGCGGGACCTGCGGACACGTTCCGCTACGTGGAGGCCAGCGCCCCCCATCTTCTCTCCTTGTACGCCCCCCCCCGACCCGTACGCCGAGGCGTGGGCTGGGGATTTCGCCCACACAGGGGTGGCGGGAGCGTCGGAGTAGTGGGGTGGCGCCCTCCTCCCCTCTCCCTTCCTCCCGTCAGGTTCGTGGTCGTCGTTCCCTCTCTTTCTCTCGGCGGCCCGTTCTCCCTGTCTCACCGTTGCATGTCGTCCACCGCGGATCATCCTCATCGGGAGTATGAACAGAACAGTATTCATATTGAGTAATTGTGGAGTTGGAGGTGGAGGAGGAGGAGGAGGAGGAGAAGGACGAGGACGAGAACTGTGCCTGAGGTACCCCTGTCCCCTCAGCCGCTCCCCGGCCTCCCCGCTCTAGCGAGATCTCCGATACGCACGGCCAGACATACGCCCAGCGCCCGAGCGCCTTACGCCCAGCGCCCGAGCGCCTCTCCGCGCGCCCAGGCCACGGATCTGGCGTTAGCCGGATCGCGAGGGGAAGCGCCCTTCCCGAGCGGCAGTGCCCAGAGTGCCCCCAGCTGTTCGCGCCATGGGTGCTCCGCAGGCGCCCCTGGGCCTCCCCGGAAGAGCTGGGGTCACTCTGGGCCACGGCCACGCGGGGCCGCAGCTCAGGCCGGCGGGAAGAGCTCGACGGTCGCCTGCGTCTCCGCGACGATGCGCCCCCGCTTGAGCACCACGCGGCGCACAGGCGGCGCCGCGATGGCGTCGGTGGCGGTCTTGGCCCCGCGCAGCAGAACCAGGTCCGCGGAGCAGCCTGCGGCCAGGTCGTGCCCGGCCCCGCCGGCGCCGGCCAGCTCGATGACCTCGGCGGCGCCGGCGGTGGCCATGCGCAGCAGCGCGGCGTGCTCGGCCCGCGCTCCCAGTTGCAGCATCTGCGCAGTGAGCGTGGCCACCTCGTGCGTGAGGGAGGGAGAGCTCAGGGAGCCAAGCCTACAGAGAATCTCTCATGTCAACATCTGGGCCTGGAAGGGCAGCGGATGAGGAGAGAAGGCAGGCGAGAGAGTGTGCACACACCCACACACACAAACACACACACACACACACCTTGAGCATGTCGCCGTCCCCCGTGAATGTGAAGAGGTTCTGCACGTTGTTGGTCGCGAAGGCCGCGCGCACGCCCAGCTTCGCCAGCTGGTCCACGGGCGCCACGCCGCGCCGCCGGTCCTGCGCGTCGCCGCGCGCCATCATGTACACGTCGCTCGCGGGCAGCGCCAGCACCGACACCCCGCCTGCGCAGCCGGCCTGCCGCAGCCGCTGCGCCGTCACGGCCAGGGCGGCGGGCGGCTGGCTGGACAGCGCCGTGCAGTGCCCGAGGCACACGCGCGGCGGCGACGAGCGCGCCCTGCCCAGCTCGGCCAGCACGCAGTCGAGGTGGGACTCCTTCTCGTCGCCGAGGTGGTAGTCGAGGTGGAAGTCCACGCCGCCCACGCCGAATTCGGCGGCCAGGGCGAACACGAGCCGGATGTTGCCCGCTGGGTCCGGGTCGCAGTAGGGCGCCGACCCCACGCAGTCGCACCCCAGCCTTAGCGCCTCGCGCAGCAGGGCGCCGCCATCCCGCACGCCTTCCTGCGCGAAGGCGGCAACCTGCAGGTCCAGCGCCCAGGCAAACTCGCGCTTCAGGTCGAGCAGCGCCTCCACCGCGCGGAGCCCCACCTCGGGGTCCACCTCGGCGTGGGAGCGCATGCGCGTCGTGCCAAAGGCGACCGCGCTCTCGATCACGCGCCGCGCGCGCCGCCCGATGTCGGCGACGGTGAACCCGCGCTTCGCCGCCAGCGTTTGCGCCAACGCCTCGGGGAACGTCCCCGTCTCTGCGCAGCACCGCGCGTTGAGCAGCGCCTTGTCCAGGTGGACGTGCCCGTCCACGAAGCCGGGGAGCACGAGCGACCCCTCGGCGTCGAGCACCTCGCCCCAGGCATCGCCGCCGCAATCGCCGCTGCCGCCGCGCGCGGGCACAATCCCAGTGATCACGCCGGCGTCGTCGATCAGGATGTCGAACAGCTCGTCGGCGCCAGGTAGGAGCGGCGCATCAGCAGGCCCGCTGCTGGCGGCCGGGGCGGGAGCGCCCGACTCCACATGTCTGGCAATGCTGCGCGGCGGCCTCCACGCTAGCGACGCGTTCGCAATGGCGCGGCACCGCCGGTCTACACTGCGAGTGCTTGGGACCTGGAGCATCTCCCGTCAGTGTCACGTACCCCGTCCGAGCATCTACTCGTACTAGAACCATCGCGCGCTCCAGTTCTGCCTGTCTTGTAGTGTAGCACTAATCGGGTTCGGGGGGGCGTGCCCAAATGAGAAGAAGCCTGTGAGTTTGTTGGAAGCCAGCGTGTTTGTAGCCGAAGGCGCGAATGGTTGCTCGGGGGAGGGCGAGGGGTGCCCAACTGTATCCGCCACCGTGCCGCTGGGCACGGAGTGGGCGTGTCCTCAGGTCCTTTGCCCAATCCCCTGAGCCTCAGTCCTCAGTCCTCAAGAGATTCTTAGGGGCCGGACCCCAAATTGCCAACTCTCTCGGGTCGTCCCGCGTGCCTCCTGAGGTTGGCGCGTTTTGTCGCGTGACTTTTTCGGGCCCAAGAGGGCCCCCAGAGGGGTCCAAGAGGCCTCCAAGACGGCCGAAGACGACGTCGAGTCGCCGAGAGATCGGCCCAAGACGCCCAAGATGGCCCCCAGAGAGGCCTAGAGGCCCCCAAGACGCCCCAAGAGACCTCCAAGAAGCCTCTCAAAAGGGCCTCCAGAAGCCAAAAAACAATGATTTTCCAAAGGTTTTTGAAGGATGGTGGCGTTCTCGCCTTTTCGGCTCCCCGACGCTCCCAGACGGCCCTAGAGCAAGACGGCCCAAGAAGTCTCCAAGAAGACCCCAAAGCGGCCCAAGAGGGCCCCCAGGCAGCCCAAGAGGGCCCCAAGAAGGCCTCAAAAGAGGCCCGAAAGAGGGAACACAACCCGAAAATCCCAGCCTTCCGCCCAACAGGCCCCCGGGAGGCCCCAAGAGGCGCCCAGCAAGTCCCAAGAGGCCCCCAAGAGGCCCCCAAGAGGCCACACCCAAGAGGCCCAAAAGATGCCCCAAGAGTCCCCCAAATGGCCCCCTAAGAGGCGTCCGAACTGCCCCCAAGAGGCCCCCGAGACGCCTCCCACGAGATCACAGCGAACATCCACTAGGCTCCCTACCCACAACACGGAGGCCCTAAGAGTGCCCCAAGAGGCTCCCGAGAGGCCTTCTCCTCCTCCTCCTCCTGCTCCTCCTCCTCCTCCTCCTTCTCCTCCTCCTTCTCGTCCTCCTCTTCCTCCTTCTCCTCTTCCTACTCCTGCTCCTCCTCCTCCTCCTCCTCCTTCTCTCTCCTCCTCCTCCTCCTCCTCCTCCTCCCCCTCCTCCTCCTCCTCCTCCTCCTCCTCCTCCTCCTCATCCTATTAATCCTCCTCCTTCTCCCCATTCCCTCATCCATCCATCCAGCCTCCTCCTTCTCCTCCTCCCTCCTTCGCACGGTTCGGCGTCCCCCTCTTTGCTTCCGCACTTCCCTGATCACGTCAACTCGCCTGGACATCGTTTCTGGATGGGCTGGTGGGGATACGCGAAGCGTCTAGAATTCTTCATCCTTACCATCACATCCCCATCCTAATTGTCATCGTCCTCGTCATCGTCAACCTAATAATTACAATCACCCCCCGCACCAACACCATTTCTGAACCGCCATCATAACCATAACCATCGTTACCACCACCATCACCACCCTGAACACCACTATCGGTACCATCAGGGTCATAATCATCACCATCATCAACACCATGAAGACCACCCTCATCATCGGCATCTCCACCACCACCATCATCACGTCCTCACCGCATCATCCTCATCACCGTCTTCACCGTCCTCACCACCCTCGCCATCCTCATCATCATCATCTCCATCATCATCAGGGTTCTGGCCTCGAGCTGCCGCTCGAAACGGCGCGGGTGCCACCGCGAACGCTCTCGGCGAGACGAGGCCATCGTCTACCCCTCCTCAACTCCCCCCTCCCTGCCCCTCCCCCACCCACTCGCTGCTGCTAACGGCTGTAAGAGACGATGTCTGTAGCCATGCAAACCTTTCCTGCCACCTCCCCGCGGCTAAACCCTGCGGGGCGGTGGGGGCGCATTAGGGAGAAGGTGAGAGACAAGATGAGCCCCACCCACTCCCCCACCCTCCTGCCCCCATTGCCCTCCTCCCACCCCCGCTCGCGATCCTGGATCACGCCTGTGGCGCGCCGGCTTTGGGGAGAGTCCCCCCTGTCGTGCCACGTGCTGGCCCCTAATAGAAGCTCGGTGGCCTCTCGTGCCGCGTGCTGGTCTCCCTGAAGCTCGGCTGTCCCATGCAGGCCGTCGGGACTCCATGTTCTTCTAAGGGTTTCTCGATGGAGGAAGCCAAGCGGTCTGAGCTGGATAGACCTCGATTATATTGGGACGCACAAAGACACATTGGTACTAAACGTCCTCGGTGGAGGCGCGCGTCCGACCCGAACATCCAGTAGACCCATCTTGTAGTATATCGTTTCACGAGCGGTGCGGCCATAAAGTGCCCGCCACGACGCATACACACACTACAAGATTTCTCGGTGCGCGCGTCGCCCCTGGGGGGGGGGGGGGGGCGACGCACACATAGTATTGGTATGTCGGGGGTGCCGCCGATAAATCGATCAGGAAGGGAAGATAAGGGCAAATCCGCTCGAAATCGGTCCCCGGACCTTTCCCGGGGTACATCTGGTGCAGTTTTTCACCCTGGATCCGTTTGCGACGGCCCGGGGGCCCGACAACGGCCCCGCAGGCCGAACAAGGCAAGAGCCTCCTCGAATCCGGAACCTCGAGTCTCTGCCCTCCCTTCCTGCTCGCCGGGACCACTGCTGCGCCATCTCAGACCCCAGCCGGCTCCAAGTTGCTCGCAGATCGTCGCTTGCCCCCCGGGCGCACGCCTGGAGCACCTCCCAAGACGGAGCCCCCCTCCACAGATCGCCGCACGCCGCCAGGCCAGCCGAGGGGGCCAGCGGCTCGCCTGCCTTCCCGAACGAACGAACGGCCACACGAACGAACGAACGAACTGCCATACACCCTGCGAAATTCTTAATTAAGAAATCATGGGTTAAGAAATTCATAGTCTCAGAATTGAAGTAAAACCCAGAAATTCCCTCAAAATCTTAGGGATTAAATCGAAACATCAAGAATAATCGAGACTCTGGCCGAAAACTTAGGTTTTCTTGAGCATCGCCTAAGGTGTACGAACGAACGAACGGCCACACGAACGAACGAACGAACGGCCACACTTAACACCAAAGATTTCGAGGCACACATCAACACTTTGTACAAGAAGATTGTAGACAAAGCAGCGGCTAACCAAGAGGCGAAGCGATTAAAAGAACAAAGTAAGGCCGAAAGCAAGAAGCAGTTGGTGAATGAACTTATCAGCAAATCTCCAGAAGAGTATGTCGAACTAACAGTTGCGCGCAAGGTCAAAGAGCAGCTCCAGAAGCAGGGCGGCAAGAAAGATTCTTACAGTAAGCTGCAGCTGCTGGAAGCGAGGGCCGGCGTGGAGGCGAACCCCGTAACCCTTATGACGTCATCTTTCCAGAACTTCGGCGTGACCGAGGCCGACGCGGAGAACGCCTTGAGACCAAAAAACGACCAGGCCCCGCCCCCAGGTGCCAAAACTGGGGGAAAAAGTTCTGGCAAGGGGAAAAGTCAGGATTCGAAAGGGGCCAAGGGAAAAGGCAAAGGAAAGGGCAAATCCAAGGGCAAGGTCAACGCAGGAAAAGGCAAGGACAACAAGGGAAAGGGGAAAGCGTTTACTACCACAACACAGTTTACAACAAGTCCGACTTCGAGGCTGACCTGGAGACCGACGGCGCCAGATCGAGATGGGAAAGGCGGCGCCAAAGGGTCAAAGAGTGGACCAGGCGGGAAAACCAAAGGCAAGAGCAAGGGCCGACCGAAAGGCAGGCCGAAAGGCTCTTCTGGAGGATGGTGAAAGGCATGACCGTGGCGGACTTCCGCCATTTACTGGAGTGTGGAAAAGACGTTCCAGACATGTACATATTTGACAATGATAAGAGAGAAGCTGTCCAGCCACCGCCGGGCATGATTGCATGGCCAATTGAGTTTTTGCTTGCGAAACATCATCGCAAGCACGTATTTCGCCGCCGTTGCGCTCCGAAGATGAGCGACATCAGCATCGCCTTGAACAGTTGGTATAACAAGCAAATGTGGAGATACACAGCTTCCCAACAGGACGATCGCGAAGATAATCCATGGAGAAGATTCCGACCCAAGCCGGCGATAACACCTCCGTGCCCTGCCGCGGTGCCACCGTCGTTTGACCAGGCATGCAGAGAAATAGTGGACGGGGTGTGGCACGAGTGCCGAAGAGCAAGAGGCCGCCACATGGGCAACAGGGGGGCCATCTCCAATCTATCTGGGATCGTGTCTTTGGCAATGGATATTTTCAGGTATGGGGGCATAGGTGTGTTACCCACCGACAAAGATGGAGGTTACTGTTTGATTCCTAAGGCAACAATAGTCACAGAGAGCCTGAATATTGTACAGACCACACGGTATCGAGAGGTCCGAAATCCCACAGATGCAGCAGATGAGTTTTTCGATGATTACGCTCTGGCGGTCAAGGAAGCAGGGAAGCAACTTGATGATCTCCGCCTTGTCCACGCGCTTCTATCCTGGGGCCGCGAAGGCAACCTTAAAATGATATCTCGTTTGAAATGCACGGTGAAAACGCACAAGCCTGCAGGAGAGGTCGAATTACGAGCCATACATGCTAGCACGGGCAGTCCACTGACCGGTGGCATGCGCTATGTGTCTTCTCTCCTCCGTCCATTTCTCGCAAGGCAACCCCACATTCTACGAGACAGCCAGGACTTGCTACATCAATTACGGGGTATTGCCGTTCTTGAGAACGACCGCTTCCTCAAGATAGATATCAAGGACTATTTCATGAGTGGGGAGCATCATCAGCTAATTCATCATTCTTCTCAGGCGATTGAGTGCCCTGCGTCGCGGCAAGCGTACAAAACCATCCTGGCCGCGATACTCCGTAATCAGCTCGTCTCCGTGGAGGGGGTAGCCGATAGATTATGGACAGTACAGTGGGGCACTGGTATGGGTCTGCTTTGCTCGGGGGACGTCAGCGACACAGCCTTCCATTATATGGTTGAGGAGAACTTCGCAACAGACGCTGGGGTGCAGCGACAATACGGCATCAAATTTTACGGAAGATTCAAGGATGATATCTTCATCATTTTGGACGGGGCCGCTCACGCTACGCAGTGGGGCGCCTTCGTAAGAGA